GAATGGAATGCGATACTGCTAGTTGCTGCTTTTGGAAGAACAGTGCACGAATGGAAAGACTGCCGGTGGTACCGGTAGTGTAAAGATGTACGGCGACGAAACAGCAGTTAAAGCATGAAAATTGATTTGGGCTTGTAGAGTGCTGGCTTGGACGAGCGTGAGCAGCACATAATTTTGGCTGGAAAGCATTGCACCATGTACCTGTTTTCGTGTTATCAGGGAACATGAAAAGAGAAACGAGGAAAGCGGGCAATTCCGTGCGCTTCCTGGTTTAACCTGGATGCTGCAGTCTGCTACACACAGACATCGTCTCTTCGATTTCTGCCTTTGCATAAGTGCAGGAAACGTACAGTAACATTTGAGCCACACTAAATTTTCGCACCAAATTGTTGAAAAATGCAGCAATCCGGTTGCGCTCATTCTCAGTTCCAGTTGACTTCAGCATATTGGTTCAGAGCCAGGGTCCTTCCGTATTCATTCCATAAGAAAAGCTGAAGCACGCAGAAATAGTCGAGTGACCCAAGCAAGCTAATGGCGAGTTTGATTCCCCGGCATGCGTTGATATCAATTTCATTCAAACAAATGAGGCTGACGGAGGGCAAACCCTCGCCCTCATTCCTTCCAGCTGCTAGTCAATTGGATTTGCTTTTAATCCGTTTACAAACTTCCGACATCATTTGTCATTCCAAATTGTCGTTGGATTTGGTCTTCCAAGTTAAAGACATACGCTGAACAGTACCTTCCAAGTTTTTCAGGAAATTCCGAAATTTTATCCGATTTTAAAAGGTGCCCTGAATCAGCCTGGATTGCGCGATCCACCGGAAGCAGTCTGCAAAATTAGTGCACGACCAATTCTGAAGCTCTGTTATCGTTTACAGCAGCATTTATCTCACTGTGCACATTGCGTCTCCGAAGAGCAGGAATCACTGACAAATGCAGTAAAGGATGTAACACTTGTTTTTTTTCCACACTTTTTTTTTTGATACGCTTTAGAAAAAAATGAGTTCAAATGCG